GACCTTCAAGCAGTTTTAAGGTACTTGCAAAAAAGAAAGGATATGAAAATTGATTTACCTGCTGGCTAAGAATTGACCTTGCATTTAAGCTCCCTTCAAGTGAGTTACCTGTAGAAGGCAATGCAACACTGATTTCTATGACCCTGAACATAATAAATTATGTCATTCACAAGAGATTGTGTTTGACAACATTCCAAACACCAAGAAGAGAGTTAAAAATACAACGTTCGGCATTAGGTATTTTTGATGAACTTCAAGGTGTTTGATAAAGTTGTGGAAACACTCAGCTATTGGCTGGTGTTCCCACAGCATTTCCTGTTCTCCCAAACTTTCACCTGTGTTTCTTATAACTCGATAGAAACACAGAAAGTGTTATCTATTTCTTGATGAAAACTTTCTGACTGAAAGACCTTAGAGTTTCATTTCACTTGTTCAAAGTTGCAATAACCATAAAGCTTAAAGAGTTCTGAACAAGAAAAAATATTCTTTTACAGGTAAATCTAAACTTTGACAAAAAAAAACTTAATTTACTTTGCATATGAGTCATGTACTCAAAGTTATACAACATTATTTTTTATCTACCTTGCTTAGAAAATCTTGCTAAATGAAGTGCTATGAAAAATTCTTCAAGAGAGAGTTTTCCATCGCGGTCAATATCAGCTAAGTTCCTGTAAAATAAAGCAATTCAAGCCATAATGATCAAACATAAACAGTTTATATTGCAGTACCATTATGATTATAAAATAAGCAGTTTGTTGTCAGGCTATAAATGGTGTATGCGCAGTCACCATTTTCCCTTGGTCAAGATTTCTTTCAAAGGTCAACTTTAACATTTTTGTTCTGTTTGTTTCAACATGTCATGGTACTAAAAACAAAATTGTTACCAACTATCAATCATGAATGGTTTCTATCCCCCCCCATTAAAGTAAGACACTTGACATAATGTTCTGAGAGATAAAGAAGTATGGTTACTGAAAACAAACAAGAAAGTCATTACCAGTACTTCCAGAGTTGTCATTACTGTGTCTGTAATACATAACATTGTTCAAAGCTGAGTTAATTTGATGCTAGCCCTTGATGTGTACAGGTAAGAATTTGTCTTTTGTCTATTTAACTTACCAAAGAAACAAGTTTGTTTTGACCATGATGATCAAGGAAACAAGTGACTCAAAACTTGTTGACAGCCAAGGAAGACTACTAATAATTCTTAAATGTAATCTACATTTTACTCGTTATTTTTTATCGACTCACCAAATTCTTGCCAGAACATCCTCTGGAAGTTCAGACCCAGTAAGAATAGAACAGGCTGTTTCAGCTGGAATAATAATAATACATAACCCTAGTATTGAGACTGTTTAAAAGTTAATTAACACTGCTTCACAAGGAAAGATCTATATTTTAAATTTAACACGCCCATTTGTTAGTTGTGTTCCACACCTTTAGGTATCACTTGCTCTCACTTGATAAGAGTGTATAATATTTGTAAACTGAGGCTAGCAACAAGTAGAAGATGAATGCACAAGGTTTATGATTGTGTTGGCCCAAATTACCAGGTGGGATGTGCAATATTTTAAAACATTTACAGCTAAGAGCTTGTTGTCTCTCTAAATCAGTCACTGCTCCACAACTGCTTGGATTTTCAGTTCCAGCTTCATGCTGATCCCTGTTCCATTTTACCTCCCTACTATGGCCATCACTTTAAACATCCAGTTAATGGCCAATATTTCCCTCTATGAGATGTGTTTGCAGAGAATCATGGTAGTTGTATTCATCAAAACAAATATCCAGTCCAAGATGATGAATACAACTACCATGATTCCCTGCAGGTGCATCTCAGAGAGGGAACTGGACATTCTAGACTCAACTTAGGTAGTGAGAGTTTAAAGAAAAGTTTACATGTAACTGCTCAGACTTTCTACAGACCTTGTACAACTATAAATAAAAGAAAAACAACTCTCTAGGCAACTTTCAATTCCCAATGCTGAAAATGTTTGGACCCTGATTCCCTTCCTTTCTAAATATCAACCTTTTAAAACAAGCCAAACAAAGAAAGCTGTTAAGTGTAGTTTAATTTTGAAATTCCTAAAGTTAATGTAAGAAAGGACTTAAACTTCTGAGTCAAAATAAGACAACTTTGTGTCCATGAACTTCCTGCAATACAGTAAAAGAAATAACTTAATAGACACTATGTGTTGCCAAAGCAATATGATATAATTTTCTGTACATAAATGCATATGTTGTGATTCAATTTTACCCTTGTTATTTTCCATTGTTTTATCATAATGAACATAAAACAAAGGAAAATACCAGATTGTACCAAGGGTAATTATTAATTGAACCACAACTATTAAATGCAGGTCCTGAAAGTAAGAAAGAGATAGGGACACTTCACGCAGCCTTACCATCAATATATCCTGTCTTCTCATTATTTTTCCACATGAAAGCTTTCTCATACACTGCTTTCTCCTCGTCGGTCACTGCAGGAATGTTCACATGAGGTAGATGCGTTGGAGTCAGAGTCTGTGGCAGCTTGAGAGGAATATCAGTGCCTTTTAGACGACTCTGAATAAGATGCATGGCTACAGCAAATTCGGCAATGTCTAACTTGTTGTTTCTTGTCACATCGGCAAGTTTCCTGTTAACATGACAGTTCATGACAATGGTGTTAATTGTAGCTTCAACATTTAGAGCATGTATTTCAATTTTGGAAACATCCTCGTCCCCAGAGGCCGTGCTTCTTTTGGTCAGCACCAAGAATCGGGACCTCTGGCCTGACCCAATTTTCTGAGCATGCGCAGAGTATTCATTTCATATTCTCAGCCAATCAGATTTGCCAAATTTGGTGTTACGTCCATGAATCGTGGACTTTCAGTGTTGGACTGGCCCAGAGGCTGCGATTCTTGGTGCTGACCGAAAGGAGTACTGCCTCTGCGGATGAGAATGTTTAGGAAAATATAAGAGATCTTTGCCTATGCCACTGCTTACATTTTGCCTCATTAGCTTATGTCTTTGTAGAGAGAAGCCTCCATGATTGGAAAAAGAACTCCAAGCAGTATAGAGCTTCTAAAACTTGGTAATTTGTGAAATGTTTAGCTCTTTGGGTGTAATATTGAAGATGCTGCCTTTAAAGAAAACTGCAAATGTCTTGAGAGGCAAAAGCACAGCTAATGATCCTATACACTGAATGAAAAATTGTAAGTTTCTCAAACCCATATCATAAAATAATTATTACTTAAGTATCATTATCCTGAATATATTTTGCTAAAATTCCTTAGGACAGTCAAACGTGTCATGCATGCCCCAGCGTGCAAAGAAAGTCACGTCCAAATAGCCCGAGGCCAGTCTATTTTCCAGTCGTGCTAATGCATTCTGTCCCTCACTCGCCTAACAGGCAAGTAAGATTTCTTTGAAAAATTTGTGAGAAAACTCAAATAACAGAAGCACTATAAGAGATGTAATTTTGGGGGTGGGGGGAGGGGGGGTTGTGAAAATGACTTTTGAGCTAGTAGTTTACAGTTACAGCTTGCATGAGAAGCAAGTTGGCTAAAAAAATTTTTTTTTTGCCCTAATGCCCTTCCAGTATTTAGAGTTGATATTTTTCTGGCTCGATCAGACAGCGAACGAAGTGCTCATGCTAATAAGACAAATATTGTAAACAAAGATTTGTCCATAGAACCCAAAACTTGATTGCCTCTCTTGACAGCATGAAGAAGCTATACACACTGGATAAAACTAAAGAAACCCATTTCATTATAGATTTTGTTCAGGGGACAATATTGTATTTGAGAGTGATTGTGCAGTATATTTTCATGTCATTTGTCATTGGAGTGAAAAAGTTACTTGCTTTCCTAAGAAATTTTGCTATGTTTAATTCTGGATACAAATTTGAGAGAACACACAAAAAAAAT